GGGGGGGGGGGCGTCCTCAGCCCGGGCTGCGCGTCCTTCCGGCAGGTGCAGCTGCCCGCGTGGGGCATCAGGAGGGAAGCCTTCCCGCCGCCTAGCGCGTACCAGGAAGGGAGGAGCAGGGGACGCACTGGGAACAGGCGGGGATGGAGCAAACCGGGCCTGGGGGCTGCGGACCTGCCCCCACACTGCCAGGGAGAGCCCCGTGCTTTGGGAGTCGGGGAGTCAAGATTCTTGGTTGACGGGCGAGGTCTCCGCATTGGGTCTTGTGCCCAAAGAGAGATGAAAGGGACGTGACGGAGCTGGCGTCTCAGGGTGCCATGTCGCGCAGGGCTGTGGTGTGAGGACCGATAGGGGAACGGGGGGGCCGCGGGGGGATTCCAGCTGGCAGTCAGCCGGCCGAGGCGAGCGCCCGCCTGCCGGGCGTGCACGGAGGGTGCTGCGTGGGGCACGGTGGTCTGGTTCCGAAGCACCAGCTTACGTGGGGTCACCCTTAGATGTGGACTGTTTTGTCTTTGCTGCCCAGCTGAATCAGATGCCCCATTTTGAGGGAAAAAAAGTGTTAGGATAAAAAATTACCTTGCAGCAATCGGATACACCGGAAACCTCTAACCTTTATGTTTTCTGGGGTGTGTATAAATCCTCTTTCAAATATTCCTCTTGGGATCCTCATCTGTGGGGTGATAGGAGCTGCCATTTATCAGCGACTCCATCTTTTCCGGCTTAAAAAATTATCTTCCGGTACGGAACTACCTGTCTGCTGAAAGATTTAAGTCTGTCTTACGTGTAAGTGGCTTTGATCCTCTCTCTCTGGCACCCTGCCATGCGGACAGGACGGGCATCATCTACACAGGGAGGCTGCCTCGGGCACCCCCAGCCCTCTCCCTGGCTGGCCCCCAGCCCCCGTTCTTGCGTGGTTAGGACAGGGAGACACATCGAAGCCCCAGTCGCGCCTCTCGTCGCTTACCTGCACCTGAGGGTGAGGGGACGGGGAGAGGGTGCCGGCGCCCTGGTTCTCCCCCAAGGAGTGGTTCCTGCTCAGGGTCAGACGGCAGGCAGTGAGGATGGTCTTCTCGATGTCAGGAGGAGCCCTTTGATAGACCGGGGCGGCGAAAGGACCGAACCACAGTGAGGCAGTGGGGGCACGGGTGAGGCCCCGTGAGGAGGTCTCTGCGCGGAGCTGCCAAGCCGGGACCAGTGCCGACGGCTGCCTGCACCCGGCCCGCGCCCACCGTCGTGGCTGCTGGCCACACAGCTGCACTCGTGTCCTCTTGGTGGCCCCCTGCACTTGGCCGCCTCTGCTGAGCGCCTGTGCGTTCTGTGTGTGTTCACGTTCACACAAGGAAGCACGGCAAAACGCTGTTCTCTCCGCGTAGTCAGTACAAAGTGCTTTTGCCGTAAAAATAGAAACGACTCTGGAATCCTTGATGTTACAAAAGCATCTGTGGTAAGAAACCAGCGTAGCACAGTGACGGAGTCCCGTTAGCCTCGTGTAGTTTGGAATATGCAGGACTTAGCTTTGGGGTAGGTAAGTAGTAATCTTAAGATGAGGTCTTTTGGTATTTTCGCCAGCATTGGAAGAAGCTTCGTAGGAAAGCGGTAGTTAGTTGTTAGGGTAACATTTATTCCAAGAGAGAATGTCGAGTGCCTCTTGTGTGAAAACAGAGTGTAATTTTCACGTTTTCATCTTTAGAACTCTAGGTTTTTGTTGTTGGTGTTTTCTGTACTAAGACGTTTTAAAAAGAGAGATTTGTAGATGGAAAATACCAGTGTTAGTATTTATAATTGGGACATAGGATTCTAGAATTGGGGCTTCTTGGGGAATAGGAAGAACACAGACGCTAGGTAGAAATCGAAGATCAACCTTTTTACCACCCACAGCCAGCAAGGAGAGCGTGGCCGGGGCCGCATCTGTAGCAGACCGGCTGACACCCGGTTTCTGAAATAAACCTACTCTCTTCCCCTTCCTCTCCCCCTGCCGCAGCCACAGGCGTCCCCTCCTCTGGGAGCAGGGCCAGAAAGCAGAGCGCCTCACTCAGCAGGCGGTGGGGGTGGGGGGGTCCTTTCCAAAACTGGGAAGGTGGCGTTCTCTCCAGCATTCCTAGCATTTCAACACTCTTCTTGTTTCTGGTCTTTTCAAATACTTTCCACAGTGAAAGTATAAATTTAGAACTAGAAGAAAAGTCATAGTTTCTCGAAAGGATTCCAGATTTAACGCTAAGGTGGTTTATCCATCAGATTATAAAATAGATTTAATAAAGGGGAGCGTGCTCCTGGCTCTGTTTTCTTCTCCCACCGAGCCTGTGTCAGCGATCCCTCGATCACTTGAGGGATGAGGCGAAACAATACAAATGAGCGGATGGCATCAGAGGTTGGTATTGATCCAAGGGTGCTTACGGACTGTCTAAACACCAGTGCAGAGTAGAGGTCGAGGACGGCCTCCCTGAGGAAGCGCCTACTGAGCTGCAGCCTCCAGGGTGAGCAGGTGCTGGTTAGGTGGGAGGCGGTGAGCGGAGGTGCGGCCGTGTGGCCGGGCACAGTGAGGGGGGCACGCCTCCCGAGGTGGACCCGGGGCAGGGGAGGTGAGGCCGCTTCTTGCAGAGCAGAGTCGTCCCCCCGCCGGTGCGACGGCGTGTGGGCCGCGTGGCCTGTGCCGCAGCTGTGGAGGTCCCGTCAGGGCGGGAGAGCTGGCGTGGGGTGTCCCACTGACACTTACAAAGCCCCCGAGGTCTTGATGGAGTTGTGTGTCTTGTCACAGGGAAAAGAAGTCGCCATCGAAGGGGTTCGGAGAAAGGTGGAACGTGAACAGGGTACGGCTCTCTACGGAGCGCGGGTTCCAGGGGCCCAGAGGTGCAGCCAAAACAGCTAGGAGTAAGGAGTCTGTTACTGGTTTTCCAGAGGGGAGGTGGCAGTGGGGATGGCGGCCGGCCAGCCCGGGGCACGTGTTGGTGGGGAGCAGTGGGACGTTCACTAGACGGGGTCAGGCACTTGGTCTCGGTCAGTGCTAAAGGGATGGTGTCTCTAGTGCGTCACAGGTGCTGGGACTTGTTAAATGACAGCTGTCCCTGCGATTGATGCATCGGCTCTCGCGGGTGAAAGGGAGACGCCCTGGCCGCCCCGTGGCTCGCCCTCAGCCATTGAGCTGGGGGTGGGGGTGTGGGGAGAGAGCCAGGTGTTCGGCCCCGAAGGTGGTAGGTTAGAGGTCGGGGGTGCCTGTGAGGCTGGGCGAGTGAGCATACCGTGTAGCAGCTGGTCGCATGTGGGCGTAGGGGACGCACCCGGAGCCAGAGAGCGATGTGGACGTCGGCTCGCAGATGCTCTAGAGGACGGAGCTCTGGGAGCCTGGTCAGCTGACTGGCCAGCGTGCCGCCGTAGGAGGCGGGCACGTGGCCTTGACGCCTGTTTGTCCCAGGAGACGGCAGCCTCGAGGATCCCAGGCACGCCCGATTGCCTGCTCCAGCTTCTTTGTGATGCCTTCACTTGGAAAGGAAGGCTCGGCAACAGAAATCACGAGTCATTGAGTTTACAGGCTTTGCTGAAGTGCCACGGTGCCGCTGACACATGGCACAGGTCTGCGTAAATTACAGCGGTCCAGCGGATTTGTTTTCGAGATTTCAGGAATGTATCTTAAGTGCAAGGCCGGCCAGCACTGAGCGAGAGGAGCCACGGAAGAGATCTGACCCAGTGCTGTCGTCTGTCATTTTGTTCTCTCGTTGCGGCTCTGCGTTCTGCACTCGAGGGCCTGTGGGCCCCCCTGGTTAGCTTTACCCCAGTAATTCTTACTTGTGTCTGTGTATTTTGTTTTCTCTGTAAGCTGTTGTGGTCTTTGTATCTGGCCCAGTCTTTTTTTGATTTTTTTCCCTAATTAGCGTGTGGCTAGCTGCTGTGAGCCTGGACGATGTTTTGATGTTCAGCTCCCTGACGCCCCTTCCACATTGTGGTTCAGTTTTATGAAATCCAGATGATTGGGACAGTATGTGTGTGCAGTTTACTTTTTTC